TAGGCAAGACGTGTTTCCCTCATATCTCTGGTTTATCGAATGATTGATTTAAAAAACAACAACAACAACAACAGGACTTGAGCTGAACTCTCAGTTTTCCTCATGGAAACCCTACTTGATGTCTGTCAGGTTTGGCTGTATTGATGTGACATTTCACCTGAATTTTCATAAACACAATCACTATGCCAATAAAGAAGATGTACTGTACATGGAGCATTCCAACTGTTTTGTTCTAAGGTCGGGGGAGTTGTCAAATGGGCAGGAAGTAACAGGTTTCTGGCAACACTCTTTGGGTCTGCAGAGTGCAGCAAGGGCAGGATCTAAGCAGTGATATTCACAGTGTTATAACTAACCCACATTAGGATATTTACACACACAGTGTACATATACAGTATGTGGGTCATACGCACAGGAAGTACCAACAATACACTAATAGAACAGAGAATGTCGAGGAATGTGAACAAAATAACAGGTGGATGACAATTACATCACATTCCCATTAGACAGCCCAGGTGACAGGGTGCCCAAGGGGCCACCATTGTTCAGAACGGAACCACAGGTGCTTCCATCCTCAGCCAAGAGCTAAATGTGTATAAAGATGGGACCAAGACTTTTTTTTGTGATAATGAATCATTGGTGCAGATATAAACAAAGTGACTGGCAATCACAGTTATCAGCAGCAATATTGATTTCTAACAAACCACAACATTTACTGTAGCAATAATAACAAAATACTACTGATACCTATTTACTGTGGTACTTTATACTTTCATTAGCAATGTATAATTTGTGTTTGCTGTAATCATCTCAAATGTCACCAAGTACATGCCTGTACTTGACCTTTATACTTAACACAACATTATTTCTACCTAACTATAACACCACTTGTGACGTGATCAAGGCTATGTACTGTATGCTGTGCCCAGCTTTGAAGTTCTTCTTAGAGCTAAACAATCAGTGAGATCTCATTTTACAATAGGGCAATGATTGCTTACGTACACTAGACTACACAGTTACAGACCCAAAAGGTTGGGTATGACTGCAGCAAAGTACTAACAGTTTACAAGCACAAGTCAGTATGAAGCAAGTCAGCATGAAGCTGACAACACAAGTCAGCATGAAGCAAGTCAGCATGAAGCTGACAATGAAAACAACATGCAGGGACCAGAATTATCAGCTCCCTTGTTACATCATGCAGAGGATTTCCTTTAAAAAAAAAAGTTTCAATCACACAGACACTGAACGATGCTGTAAACAGAATTATTAAACAGTTGATCCTGTCTTGGCCACTCCACGTAATGCACATGAATGATTGTAGGAGTCACTAGGCTGCTGACAGCAGCTCCAACTGTGATTGTGATGAGAATGAACTTGAACAATTAGTCGTACATATTTATGGGTAAGGAGTCTCAAAGAAAGACATTTATGCCCACTGTTTGCCTGTTTCACATTGGCATGCCAGTCTGTTGGCTGACTGTGGGAGCTGGCAGGATAGACACCTATCAGAACAGTCTCATTTTCCCATTACAACTAGAAAAGAGCTGCTACCACGAGTCTTAAACTTGTGAACAAAACTAAACTGTGAACCCTTATGTTTATGAGCCATGTTAATGACTTGAAGTGTTTGTATGGCGTCAAGCAGGAAAGAAGAACAATCTTTCCTTTGTTCAATTGATCGTTTAACTACACACAATTACTGGCAGCAGAAGGATTAGAGAAGGATCCAGACCTCAGAAATACAACCCCAAATCAGTAAAGGTTGGGACAGTATGCACAATCTAGATTAAATCTGAAAATAGTGATGTGTAAATCATCTGTGTCCAGTATTACACTGAAAACAATACAGCAGCACATTGTTTGATGTAACACCTCATCAATTTTATTCTTTGTTTAAAATAAGTACTTCAATTCTGGTGCCTGCAACACTTTCCAAAGGAGTTGGAACAGTTGATGTCAACAGGTGACTGCATCACGATTTGCCAACATATGGGTGAGCAAATTATTGACATGTTTAAAAACAATGTTGCTCAAAGAAAGATAGGAAGGGCTTTGGATATGTCACCCTCTAAAGTGCATAATATGGTTTAAAGATTCAAGGAATTTGAAGGGATTTCAGTGGGTAAAGGGCAAAGGCACACGCCTAAGCTGGATGACCGTACTCTCCAATCCCTCAGACGGCACTGTATCAAGAATCATCACTCTTCTATAAGTGATATAAACACATGGGCTCAGGATTACTTTGGCACACCTTTGTCAGGCACTAAAATATGTAGTTACATCCATAAATGTTGCTTAAAACTGTACTGTGACAAAAGGAAGACCTATGTCAACAGTGTCCAGAAGCTCAGTCGACTGCTATGGACTCTGAGGCATCTGGGATGGAACATCACACAGTCCAAACATGTATTGTGGTCAGACAAATCAGTATTTCAGGTCTTTTTTTTGTATGGAATGGACGCCATGTGCTCTGAACCAAAGACGAAAAGGGCCTTCGCCAAAAATGAAAAGAGCCTTCCAGACTGTTATCATCAACAAGTCCAAAAGCCAGTGTCTGTTATGGTCTGGGGTTGTGTCAGTGACTTGCACTTCTGTGCTGGCACCATTAATTCTGAAAAATACATAGAGATGTTGGAGCAACATATGCTGCTTTCAAGATGACTTCTTTTCTTTGATTTAATCAAAGACCGGTCCCATGACATTTGAGATGAAGTGAGGTCACTGTAGTACTGGTCAAAAGTAGCAGTCTTTTGCTTTGGAAGGAGTAGGCAGGGAGTGGAGGACTTGCTTTATAAAGGAATGGCCAGGGGACAATTGAAAGTCTCTTGAATCCTCAAACTATTCCTGTCTTGCTGCATATTTCAGCAAGACAGTGCAAAGCCTCATACTGCACATTACCAAGGCGTGGCTGTGGAGGAAAAGGGTGTGAGTGCTGGACTGGCCTGCCTGCAGCCCCAACCTGTTCCCACCCAACAGAGAATGTGTGGTGCATTTTGAAATGCAAATTGTTTCAATGAAGACCCAGGACTGTTGCGCACCTTATGACTGGTTTGCAGGAAGAATGGGACAAAGTTCCATCTGACACATTGAATCACTTGGTGTCCTCAGTCCCTAAACAGCTTTTTAGCGTGTGAAAAGGAACAGCAGCATCACAACGTGGTAAATGCTTTACTGTCCCAACTTTTTTTGGAAAGTGTTGTAAGCATGGTGAGTGTTTGTTTTGAACAAAGAATAAAATTGATGGTATCACATTAAATAATGTGCAGCTGTATTGTTTTCAGTGTAATACAGGACACAGATGATTTACAAACCACTATTTTCAGTTTTAATTTTGATTTTACATACTGTCCCAACCTTTTCTGATGTGGGGTTGTAACAAGATCCTTACACATTGTCCATATGACCTCACATATTGGATACTGAATCTCAGAAACAAACGGTTTACATTTGCTGAAGTGTTCACAGAAGGGGTTTGTGTGTCTCTGGGGGGTTTAATCTGCTACAAGTTGAGGGCCCTGGATTATGTCACTCCTGTTTTGACTAAACAGGCCATGAGCTGATTATGAGGATTAGTGGAGATGTGGTGATCCCATGCCTTTCACACTCATTCTCAACTCACCAACAGCTGCAAAGACTCTGTTTAGAGAATCTGGTGGGACATAGAGCTTTTTCTGACCATGAGAGCCTGACGCAGTTTGTGTGTAATAGTGCTAAATGTGGACTGCAGCCACAAAAGGGAAAGTGCTGCAGTGTTACTTTAGGGCATGAGGCAGCAGCATATGAGGTATGACAGTGGCAGTCAATTGATGCAAGAGTGGCCTGGTATTGCACTTAACATGAGAGCACAGAGATAGCTGCCTGCCCTCGCAACTACCTTGGGATGAAATCAGAGACTCAAAGAACTGAAGCGTTAGCTGGCACAGGTCCTGCAGCCCAGTGCCACATCCCCTCTTTCTACAGTGTGACATAGGCCTTTGAATGAGTCCTCACTCCAGTTTCAGCTCTGTCCTGTTCTGAGACATTGTCACTAAAAGACTAAAAGGCAATGCCAGGGAAGACAGAACCAGAGAACAAAACAGGTTTGGACTAATCCACTGTCACCTGAAAGTGATATGAGCAGTCCAAAATGAAGTTTCAACAGATTTTTACACAAATTCATTCTCTCTCTCTCTCTCTCTATCTATCTATCTATCTATCTATCTCGCTCCGTCTCTCTCTTGCTCTCTCTCTCTCACACACACAGGTTCATCTTCATCATCATGATTTTTCAGGCTGTGTGCATTGATCAAACATGCAGATAAAAGCTTCAGATGCAGATGAAGAGAATTCAAGACTGTAAACATTCTTGACAGTAGGCCTATTGCTTGATACACGTCTAGTCTGTCAGAATAAACAGCAGCATGCCCCTGATGCTGCAAAAGTAAAAAAAAGAACAAAACAGTACATATAGTTATTGCCAAGCAAATATTCTCCACCTGGGAAACTCCTCACCAAAGTGGAAATGGAGAGCGTTTCCACAGTGAGACAAAAAAGACCACATGAATGAACATGATCCAGGAGTCTACCCCCTTGAAGGATGACGAGGCTGTAATTATTAGCTTAGAGTGAGTCACCTTGTATCATGTGCTCCAGAGAAGAGTGATACAGTTTGTCACGTTTCATCACATGAATGAACTTCGCAGGATGGCGCTCATTCAAAACGATATAAGGTTTGAAAGCACAATGGATTATTGTCGATTCATCAGCAGGCATCTGCTGACTCATCCATATTGTGTGAACATTTTGGACTGATGCCAGGCTATTAACGAATCTAACAAGAGGTGCATTGTTTACGATTATATCAAACATGTGCATTGCTGGGACACTTTGTTGTTTTAATAGTGGGTCTACACATAAGGCCTACCAAATCTAACCACAGGGTGGAAATCTTAATGTCATAGGTCTAATTTTACTGACTACTTTTAGTGACTGCGCGTAATTTCTCTGGATGTACAACTGGTTACCTGTGCAGGTGAGAGCAGCAGATAAAGCGCCACCGCAGTCTCGATGACAAACTCGAATTTCATTTCGCGATGTCTGCGAGCGGAGATGGGCTGGTGGCTCCCGGTGCATACAATAAAGCAAATCCAACCAAAGTTGCAAACTACTCAGAAAAAAAAAGGTGCTGACAGGGAATTTCCAAGTCACCCGCTCCCGGTTTAGTAATGCTCAGAATGAGTGGAGTCACGTAGCTCCGCTGCCGCGTGTAACCTGAAGAAGTAGATTGTGCTTACAAATGAATGCACCAGAGGCCACCTGGAGGTGCTGGGGCAGTAACACGGTAATGTCAAAAATAAAAAGACCCTTGGCAGCCAGTAAAACGCCGTTTGTTCAGTCCAAATCTTCAAGATGTGATCTGCACCAAAAGCACCCGCATGAAGTTGCTCGATAGTTTCCGTTTTCAGTCCTGCTCTGCGATCCAGTCGGCAGAAACACACACTTGCCTCTAATTGCCCCTACGCCACCTTTTTACAAGCTGGCCATTTAAATCCCCACCCCTTCTCTGTCCTCCGCTCTGCTCGGTTGCATCTGTCTTCACAGTCTTAAGCTGCAACAAGTAATGGTCATTTATGTGATGCTGGTTATCACAGAGCTTGTGACAATGCTGTTGATGCTTTATTTGTGATGTCTAGAAAACATGTACTTTATACACAGACTGGTTGAGAAACATCTTCTGAGGACTTTCAGAGAGTTATTCAGGCAAAGTAAACATTTACAGATCTTTTTCAGTGGTAACATTGGTGGTATTCTCATTGCTGGTCCAGGCTCCAGGAGATTTTCTTCTGAGGCTCTAGCCTTTCCACAAGTTTGCAGAGACATAAAAGTGGATTCCATTACTGTTTACACATTGAGTTAATCTTCAGTGTGGGACTTCTGTGTTTGCAGAAACCCTGGCACAAAAAGATTCCTTGTGGGCTTCCACACATTCCTTCTGCTCCACTGCCTGCTGCTATTGTACAGACCACACTCAGGAGGTGTTTCTAAACATCTCAGACACTTTAAGCAGCATAGCTAAGCCTCCACATACCATCCAGCCACCCTGGCCAGAGCATCAATAAGTGCACCAATCAGGGACGATGAAAGACACTTCCTCCAACGATGGTGGGCAGTATCACACCGGCCATTTCCTAAATTGTATCTCTACAATGATGGATGGGCTTTGAAAGTCAGGGAGAAGACAGAAGGGAAGCAAAGCCAGTGGTGATGGGGATTCTTCAGGATGTTGGACTCCACAACTATTTTGCTTTAGTCTTTCCAAGTCTTTCTTGTAGTGTTATTGTCTGGATGGTGAGAGGTTTCTGTAACAACAATATCAATCATCTTTTTCTGACTCAGTAAGTGCAGATGAAACAAAAATGGCAAAGAGGTTGTTTTCTCCCCGACAAGTAGAAAAAATACTTTAAACAAATGTTATGTGTGGCTATAATGATACAGTGTGAGTCATTTTCATGTTTAATTTGAGAGAAATTTTGAGTTAAAGAGCTAAAGATTATAGGTTCTCCAAGTAGCACAGACCTTTGTTGCTCAGAGGACAAAGCCGGACTCTTGCCATCAACTCGCCATCTGCTCAGTGAACGATCTGTTTTTAAAGGTGCACCAGCTGATAGGGCCTAATAAGATCACTCAAATTGTTTGCACTATAAATACACACTGACAAGATAAGCAAACCTGGCCAGAGTGATAGCATATTCCACTGGAGATGGATCTCTTAGCTGTCAAATTGTGAAATAAGCTTGAGGACCTCCCTGCTTTTGCTAAAACCACAAAGCTTGATGGTGTTAAACATATGTCTTGTTTTGTTGTTTTATGTTAAACTATGTGTTTGTACCAGAGCAAGTGTCATTCCTACTGGGACTGGAGACTGACCTTTTTAAACATTTATTCTGAGAAGATACTGACTATTTAAATGATGCAGTTGTTTCCTGCCTGCAGATAGATGGTCTCATTAAAATGAAGGATTAAAAGGACACAATTTGTTCATTATTATTATTTTTTTTTTTAAATGTTTCAGTGATTCAGAATGGGATATACAGGTGAACATATCAACTCAACTTTCTTTCTAATTTTGTGATAATACGTCACTATTGACGGGGGATCAGCTGGTCCTCTAATTGAGTCCCTGGCTGTCTGCAGTGTCTCTTGATGTTGTAGAGTCTAAATGGGTGGCTCTCAGGATCTTGAGTGCCAAAATAAGCACGTTTCCCTTTGGCTGTTGACCCCCCATTTTCCCAGATTGCAGAGTAAAAGGTAAACAGATGAACAACATAACGATGTCCATTCATCATGACTGGGGCAGCTTTTGTTTCCTCCATGGTGGGGCCTTTAAGGGGACTGTAGAGAGCCAGAGAGCCCCTTACTTTGAAGGATCTCATTAACAACAGTTAGATGCCTACTAGAAGTCCAAAGTTTCTGCCAAAGGCTTACAGCATTTCTGTAAGTTGATAGGTTAATAGATAAATGTACTAACTGTCAGTGTATTATTGATTTAAACGATAAGGCCAGTCATTTTTTTATATTAGCACAAATTATTTAAATTATTTTATATTAGTATTGTCACCACTCCCTGTGCAGAGACCAAAACCAATAATGATTTGCCTCTACTCACTGTTAATGTCACCCTGTTAGATCTGGATTACCTTACCTGTCCATGCCATAGACCTCCACTGATGTTCTAAAACAATTAAAAACACATCACTGTACTTAGTGACATATTTCCTCATTACGAAACACAAGGCCCAATATTTAACACCCAGACTGTGCCATCCTGTCATTAATAAGTAGTGACAGACCATGGATCTTTTCCTTCCACACCAATTGTGGAGAAAACTATATTTCAAATAAGTGGTAAATAGGAAGTGCTCAAGCCATGAGTGAAAAGCTGCTTATAGCTGCCTAAGGTGATTTGCATTTTATCGCAACAAGTTATTTCATTCAAATCCTATTAAGACTTCCATGCTACATGACATACAGTATGTTTGTCTCAGACACATATTTGCTCCAAGGTTGTCAGGTGTCATCCTGTTTTCATGCCCATTCTGTGCATGTGGGAGCATTGTTTTGCACTGAAGAAAGCCAGTCAACGTGTCCACAGACAATTGGAAGTTATTTTGGTTTGGAGGCGTCATGAATCAGTAATGGCAGAAATCTCCATATGCTATTTATCCTTATGCAGCTGTGTCTCGGACATCACAGTGTCAGTTGGTTGTGCACACTAAATATGTGTCACTTGAAAATGTGGCCCAGTTTATTAGTTGATTCTGTTTATTTTTTGTCATTTTTACATTTCTGTTTGTGGATTAAAGAAGCAAGTATTAAAAATATTGGTAGGTTGTTTTTGGGCAGAGCCAGGATAACTGTTTTCCTCTGCCTCCAGTCTGCTAAGCTAGCCTGCTGGCTCCATCTCACTCTCAGTACGAAAGTGGATAAGTGCCTCAAAATGTCCAACTGTTCCTTTAATGCATCAAGCCGAGCCGTGCTCAAAATATTGTTCCATTATATTACATTTAGCAAACCCAGCATCTACAAAATAGCACTCATCATTTTCTTCTAAATAACAGGTTTAACTTTGCTAACATTCATATACAGACAGGTCCTGCATAAGGATCCCTGTCTGTTTATGAGGCTGTGCACCCCTGGCTAACTGTGTAGTGAACCTGGAGCTCAGCAGTAGAAGCAGTGCTCTGAAAATTGTAAAGATAAAGTTTCATCACCTCCATAAGCTGCACGACCAAGGACCTGCAGTTGGTAACACACAAAAGCAAAGGCAGCACTAAGGGTGAGTTATCGCAGCTTCAGTCACTGCCAGTTGTAAAAGCTGTTAGCTTTGTAAATGACGAGCAATGTGCAGATGTGGTCCTGTAGTCAGAGAGCAGGTTATAACTCAGGCCTGCGGTGATACTTTTAACTCCATTAACAGGTCCCACATGTGGAGCACATTCACAAACACATGGTTTGACACTGTTTTTGGTGGTTCAGCCTCGGCCATTAAACAGATAAATTAGATGTTTTTTTAAATGCCTCTTCCAGATTAAAATAGTCCCGTCAATGATGACCACAAAATTCAGTTTCATGTAAATATAATGTTCACTTCTGTAAGCTCCAGCAGGTGTATCACTGCTAGCCTCACTTAACTCTGTAAACAATCCTTGCTTGTAAATTTAAAGGACTTTTTAAAGCACTCTATGTTATTAAAAGAGATAAACGAGGCTGCAGCCGAGGGAATATACCTTTTAATAGTAAATGTTACACTGAGATTGATTTGCAGTGAGATTAGGTGCAGTATTCCTGATGGGAGACACTTACATAAACATGGATTCAATCAGGCAGCCAGATTTACTGGACTGCAATCGAGGGCTGCTATTTATTTTTTCAGGGTACAGAATGTTTTGTTAAACCTCAAATTAGTTTATCCTCCCTCAGGGGCTATGTGTAAGAGTTTTAAAAGGTCTCCTCAAAAAAACACACATGCTTATAACAGATTGGTCACCATCCACATTCATAAAGTAAACCTTTGTAAACTGACAGTAGCTATGTAACAACTTGTGGAATTAGTATAAATATGACATTAGAATGAAAGCCTTCATAAGCTCCAGAAACTGTTTCTGTAGCTGCAGAACATGTTGTAATGCTTGAGAATTACAACATGTTCTGCAGCTACTGCAGCCCACAACACAATCACATTCAAACACTGCATCTTTATCCCATTCTTTAAAGAATAGGTGGATATTTTGGTAAACTTTCTATGCTAATTGCTATGATCTTGCTCCAATATGTCTATGGTAAATATGTAGCTCAAGCCAGCAGCTGGGTAGTTTAGCTTAGCATAAAGACTGGAAACAAGGGGAAAGAGCTAACATGGTTCTTTCCAAAAGCAATAAAACATGATTATCAGTGCTTCTAAAGGTCACTAAATTACCTGTTGTATCTCATTTGTTTAATTTGTTCAAAAACTGGAATTTAAGAATTGTAAAATGTTCCTCTTGTAAGTGATCATATGTTTGGATCCTGATTAAAAGGATTAGTGGGACAGATAATCATGACTGAACAAGGCCTGCTCTTTAAAATATCAACAACACAGCAATGTGAGAAAGCTGGAAAGGCTTAAATAATACAAAATAATCCACAGAGACTCATTTTTGACGGCAGAGACTATGTGGTATGGTGGTGACTCCTAAGAAGACAAGTACAGAAGTAAGCCATAGCCTCAGCAAGTGTTAGGTGAAGTTCATTTGTGCACAAGTATTTACACAAACTGCAGCCAAGCAAAATTGTGCACTTAGATTTATTTATGTGTAGAGAGATGCATTTACTCAAATGGCTATAGCTTGTAGAACAAAGAAAAGGAAATGTGAGCAGAGAGGGGAGAGGGTGGGTGGAGGTCAAAGGGATAGGGAAAGTTAATAAGTTGAAAAAACAAATAATACAGCGGACTGATGGGAATTTGGCAGTGGTGCCATATATTATCATCAGTTCAT